ACAGAACCCACAAGAACACTGGCTGTTCCACTGTCAAGAGAGAGGGCCGCATTATTAAGGGTTTGGTGATTTCCATCAGATGCCAAATAAGGATATAACTGGGGTTCAAACAAGAAAGAGAGGATCTCACTCCAGTGCTCAGAAGTGCAGTTAAAGGCAGGGATCTGACTAGACTGGAAAGATGAGAATTAGCCAGAACTGTAATAACAATAGCTAGCCATCTTTGAGTGCTTACCGCAGACCAGAAACTGTCCTAAGTACACTATTTTTCCCAGTTTACAGATGAGGAACTGAGGCTCAGAATTTTTGTAACTTCCTGAAGTCACACACTGGCCTCTCTGCCTGAGGCTAAGGGGCCATAGGGTGGTGTGACTGACTTCCCTTCTCTAAACATCAAAAAAAGTTCACTTAGAAGTTTCTATCTTCAATACCATATAAGGCGGCCTGTGAAAAGTACTGATACTGTGGGAGCTGTTTCAGCCCCACCCCTCAGGCTGCCCAGGGCCCCTCACTGTTCTGGGAAGAACCAGCAAACAGTGTGGGATAGAGCTGGGGTTCATCCCTACGCATTCCTTGTTCCAAAGCCCACTTGCTGTACCACTGAACTATGCTACCACTCCAACTAGAATCAGAGAGAGCTGGAGGAGAATTCTGCTTCTACCATGTATTAGTTGTGTGGGCCCCCAAGTTACTTAAACTCCCCTAAGCCTGTTTGCTTACCTGTACTGTGGGGACAGCAATGTCTCCAACCTTCCTGGGGGATGGTGAGGACAAATCACAATTCCTACCTGGCAAACAGTTAGAGCCCTTATTTCCCACAGACGTTAAATCCCGTACGCCTCATCTCCTAGGTAAGGTTAGGGCAGAGATTCTCACATTGTATTGTGTTTCAGATCCATCGATGATGAGGACAGGACAGAAGAGGGGAAGTGTCAAGCGTAAATTTCCTGGACCCCATCCTAGAGTGACTCTCTGGGCTGTGATGGGGTTCAGGATTGTCCAAGTTGGACCCATCGCAGGGGAATCCAGATGCCTGCAGTTCTCCCACCTGGCTTTGAAGAACCCTGGATGGTGCTTGAAATCTCACAGACCCATGGGATGAGAGCTGCCTTTGCAAATGTTTTGGGCCCCTCCTGCACTGGCCTCCATGTCTGTGTATTCTCCCTTTCCTCCTTATCTCCCTCCCATTCTGACCTCCTCCTCTTACTCTTTTCTTATTTTCTGGCTTCCTCTCCACCTCTTGGTGCACCGTCCCAGGAGCTCAGCCTCCACTCCTACTGATCAGATGCTTTTTTGTCAGTACCTTCTGCAATGGCCCTTTCCTCTACTCACCTGGAGGTCTCAGATCAAAAGTCACCACCTGCACATACCCTTCAGCCCCTCCTCTGGTACCACGAGGATGCCAGGGTTCTTGTTCTCAAAGACAGACAATGAGCTTCACAAACACTCAAGGTAGGAGAGCAAAAGTACAGGTACACAGTACTTTTTATTTAGAAGTACAGTGAGAAGAAAGAGATCCTNTACCCTTCAGCCCCTCCTCTGGTACCACGAGGATGCCAGGGTTCTTGTTCTCAAAGACAGACAATGAGCTTCACAAACACTCAAGGTAGGAGAGCAAAAGTACAGGTACACAGTACTTTTTATTTAGAAGTACAGTGAGAAGAAAGAGATCCTGGCTCATGCCAGGAGGGAACAAGAGAGCCTGGGTTGGTGCATTGTCTAGGGGATTTATAGGCAGTTGAGTATTTTGGGGAATTGAGGGCTTACAGTGAAGTCACAGGTTATGCTGAGAATACCCTTGCAGAATGCTCAAACATTCCAGGCCAAGTTGCTCCTGGCCTTTTGACATTTAACTGATCTCACTGAAGATGTCTGTATTCCTAGTCTGGTGTTTTTACCCTAGAGAATTAGTGTGACCTTGACTTTCCATAATGCTGAACACAGAGTATCGATAGGTACTTTACATTGTTACATTGCTTTGATTGTAAATATCTTGCCTTGCTTTTTCTGGAGGCCCTCACCCTACTCTGTCTGAGCCCATGGTCCCTGTCTCAATAACACTTTGCAAGCACCTTTCTTATTGTTCAAATTACACTGTAATGTGAGTTGTTTTTTCTGGCTAGAGTGTACCTGGAGGACTCACGGTCCATGGATGAGATCTTTTGTGGAAATGTGCATCATGTGTATGCACTCCCCTCTCTTTCATCCCTGTGTCCCACATTCCATCCTCCTCCCCAGTATCCAAGGCCGCATTCAGCTTCACAAAGGGGTGCAAGATGAAGATGTAACTCCGGAGGGAAAATCCCGGGGCAAAATACCTTTGAAACCTAAATCGAAGGGAGAAATAAACTGGGAGAAACTCATTTTTTACCCTACAAGCAGTCAGTCATCCATTTCTACTCTCTACTGCCTCTCACAACCCTGGTTGCAGAAGAATGGGCCCCACCCAGCCTCTCCTGTCCAGATAAGCCCTCTATGGATATGAAGACTACTTCTCTCCACCCCTTAGAAACACGTGTTGATACGGTGATGCACTAAGCCAGGAAAGATATATTGGAAGTATTGCAGTTTTACAACTACCGCTTTCCAGAACAAGCCCACACACGTTGCAGCGATGTGGAGAGGCCTGGGAAGTAAGAAGACCTGAGATGGACCCTCCTAAAAAAGGAAACAGGAGATTAACTCTGGGGGGTCCCCACAGCTTTTGCAGACAGCTGGGCAAAAACTTTTTGTAATAACAGGGATGTTGTGTGCTCCATTTTTGTGGAGGGGATGCTTGTGTCAAGTCACTGATGCTTGGCTGCACCGGTTATGACCAGAAAGGACCCTGACCTTTCCCAGAGATAGGAGGACATCTTCCTTCCCGGAGAGGCCCAGTAAGCATAGGACCCCTGGCAGAGACCCCTGGAGCTTGCTTCCAAGAACTGGCCTGTTTCCCAGCCAGCCCTGTAGCCATCACTGAAGTCCTCTTGGACTCGCTCCTAGTGGTATCTCCTCACCTCCACACTCAGGCCCTAGGCTCCCATTTGAACGAAGCCTACATGTGTGAAGTGTCTTTAACAAGACAAGACGTTCCCTGCTACTTTTGACCTTTTCTGAGTCCATTTGAAAGGAAAATGTCACTTCTATCGCGAAAGGCAAGTAAACAACATGGCTAGTGAGAATTAGCAGACCGCTTGAGCTTCGTGCCCCACAGGGCTGATGGGCGGGTTACAGAAGCGTGCCCAGGGTCTCTCAAGGAGCTCCCTGGGTATAAGGTATGATTAAAACATGTTTTTTTCCCCTTGAAATCCGCCAGGCTCTGCCGACCAGACTGCTCTGGTGCTCTCAGGGAGGCCAAAATAGAGTAGGCATTATTGGTCCCACTTTGCAAGTGGGCAAACTTCAGTAAAGGAGGCCAAGCGGCTGCGCCAGTGTTACACAGATGCTGTTGAGGCCAGGCAAGGTCAGCAACCCAGAACAGCATCTAACTGACGCAAACCCTGCTGCAGGCGGGCAGTAAGAACGCCTCTGCGCTTGGTAGATCGCGAAGCTCGCGAACCACAGGCGGGCTCCTAAGCTGGGAATCGTCCGGTTTCCAAGAGCACAGGCCCAGCCTCGCGGCTCCGCTGGCCCTGCGATTGGCTCCATGGGGCGGGGGCGGAGCAGAGCGCCGAACCGACGTGATGGCGTCAGACGCCACCAGCGCAGCTTCCGGTTGTCAGTGGCCGGAATGCCGCTGCGTCGGGTCGTAGGTGTCAAGCCTGCCGCCGCCGGGTAGTCCTCGCCCCCTCCCCGCTCCCTCCGGTGAGTTAGGGGTCGGCGGCGAGGAGGGCAGCGGAAGAGCGGCGGGGCCGAGACCCGAACAGGGGGTGGGCCACTAGCCCTCTCCGTGACGCGAAGACCCTGGTTGCTTTGAAACTCCTGCTTCAGACCCCTTACCCTTCCCAGTCCAAAGCCCGGGGCCCTGGCCCACTCCCCCGCTAGCCTGCGGCCCGCACTGCCCCTGCGGGGATGACGTTAAGCGCGAGGCGAGGTCCTCTGACGTCAGACGTAACTGTCCACCATCTTTGTTCCTGGCGAGTGGGTTTTGCGCACTGGCTTAGACCTGGAGGAATCGTGACGCGCAGGAAACCATTTAGACCACCTCTCGGGCTGCGCTTTCAGGCAGCTGCCGCCCCGCGTTTGCCCTCGGTGAGTCCAAGACAGCTTAGTTTTGGGGTATGCCCCTCACTGGGGGAAAAGGGGAACCCCAGGTTGGGCGCAGGCATGCGCGGGAGAGGAGATCCTGGGAGCGTGACCGTTGAGGCTGGAGTGAGCCGGCGGGTGTGACCGATGGGAGGAGGGGGTTTAGAGAAAGGGACTCCGCCGCTGTGGTGGAGCGAGGGGCTCCCCGGATGTGGTCGCTGGGAGTTGAGGGGCACCGGGGCGGGGGAGGTGTTCGAAGAGTCGCGGTGGGTTAGCAGGGCCAGAGGCCAGGGGTGTGGCCGGTAGAAGCTAGAGGCCAAGGGGAGAACCTTCCTTGTTAACGTCTTGGCGTCGTTCACTGAGGGACTGGGAACGTGCCCAGCCAGCATGAGGGAAAAGGGGTTCCCCAGAGGTTGGCAGCTTGATGGGCGATCTGCGCCCGTCTCCCGTAGTTAAAGGTTAAGGGGCTCCTCTTTCCCATCTGGTAATGGAGGATCATATCTGTAGAATCTTGAACACCCAGGGAAAGAAGACGAATTCCTGACGCTTGGGGGAAGGGAAGAGAAACCTCCAAAACTGACCTGATGTGAGAGAGTGGGAAGTGAGGGGGGTTACATTTTAGACCGGGATTTTTATTTTCTTTTCTGGGTTTATCAGGAATGATCTAGTTTGAGAAAGGCTGTAGATTAAGCCAGAGGTAAAGAAACTGGAACTTCCTGTTACTTTCGTATTCTTTGAATCCAAAGAATTTATTCATGCTGTTTTCAGAGCTGTCTTCTATGTGAGGAGCAGGCTTTTAGTGAACTCACTTGGCTGTTTCATTATGCAGCGTAGTGTTGATGCCTCATTAAACTTGGATTTTATAAAGCTGTGTTTGTTTTTTTTTATTAAGATAACATTGATATACACTCTTAGGAAGGTTTCACAAGAAAAAACAATGTGGTTACTACATTCACCCTTATTATCGAGTCCCCTCACCCCCTTACCCCATTGCAGTCACTGTCAATCAGTGTAGTAAGATGCCACAGAGTCCCTACTTGTATTCTCTGTGCTAAACTGTCTTCCCTGTGACCCCCACACACACCAGGTGCACTAATCATAATACCCCTCAATCCCCTTCTCCCTCCCTCCCCACCCCTCCCCTTTGGTCACCGCTAGTCCCTTCTTGGAGCCTGTGTCTCCTTAAAGCAGTGTTTTTTAAATGCCAAACACTGTCCTGATAATCACTGTGGTTTAAAAGAAAACGCAGGTAGTAAGTTTAGAAAAGGCAAAATGACAAAAAAGGTGGTCTGAATGAGAAAAAATTTAAATCAGTTACTTTCCTGGTACACCTCAATTGCTTAGCGTCAGGGTACATTTATAAAGTAATAATAGAGAGAGCAGATGAAGGAGATGCAGCTGTACAACAAAACGTGTAACACATTCCAGTGATGACAAAGCGTGGCAGTAAAGTGAGAAGTATTTGCAGATATTTGAACAGTTTAAACTCCCAAGGAAGCAGAGAGGATAGTGTGTTCCAACTGCCTCACTGAAAGTTGGATGGTGAAAGTTAATAGAAACCTAACATTCTGTGAATTAAGAAACTGAAGAAAGTCCAGTTCTTCCTTTTTTTTTTTTTTTCTGAACATCCACATTTTAATGTATACTATTTTAGGCACTGGTTTGAACCAAGCTGAACATGTAATGAATTAAGTAGGGTATGTTCCTTTTCCTTCCTTCTTTGCTAACTTCCAGGCTTAAGTTTTCCAAAGTTTAGTGGTATTTCAGTTAAGAATTGGATGTAAAACTTTTAAGCTTTGCTCTTTTTTCCTTACTGTGTAATATTAACAAATTGCTTTGGAGTCTGTCATGTTTCAATGGAAATCAGTTATAATTTTCTTATAAGCTAAATGGTAACTGAAGAAACTTTTGTTTTTGCAGCATTATCGAAATAGCTGATTACCATCTCTCACCCTTGTAATAGAAGTTTGCTAGAATGACCTTTCCGCTTTATACTTTACTCTGGCCAGTTTTTCACTACAAGCACCAGGCTGTAAATTCCATCTGTGTGTAAAACGGGATTTAGTGGCCTCACCAACTCTAATTTAGCTTTACTTTCCCAGAGCTATTTTAAATTAAGACCTTATTAATTTTTTTCTGGCCTTACTTTCTTTAGGGGAACTGGAAGGAGGGAGTATTGGAGAGAAGAGGCTTTCACAAGCTGTATTTGGTAGAAAGGAGGTTATGTTAAATGTAGATATATAATCTGTATAGGAGGGAGGCCTTCTCTCAAGTATATTCCAATGAAAGTTTTTCAAAAATATATAGATAATATAATTTTTATATGAAATTCATGTAACATAAAATCAACTGTTTTGAAGTGAACAGTTCAATGGCATTTGCAACCGCCACCTCTTCTCATTTGTTTTTGTTTAGACTTTAATTTTCTTGGAGTTTCTTTTGGGCTTAAGGCAGGAACTAACTTGATAAAGTCATTATGGATAAGCTCTATACTATTACTGTGTTACAACAGCGTGAGCTCAGAGAGTATGTTTCTCCCTTTCAGAGCTGGGATTCTTAATGTAGGATCTAAGATTGCTTGACAGCCTACTCTTGCTGAAATTTTGTGGGTGGCACATTATTCTCTGGTTAAAACACAGTGCTCACAGTGTGAATAGGACAGAATACATTCCTTGACAGTGAAATTTGTTAGGCGAGGTAGTGAAATGTGTGGGTCATTAATAAAAGTAGGATTTAAGACTAGGTTAATTTAGTGTTTAACAGATTGTGGTGAAAACTGTTAAGAATTTAATGTGTGTGTATGAGAGCTTTAGAATACAGAAGAATTTCTTGTGCCTTCCAAAGAAACTGGGTGAAAAATTCCAGAGTTTTGTTTTTAAGTCTTAAGCAGCTTCTAAGTGTTGGTAATCCAATGGGCCTCAGAATAGCACAGTAACATCCTGGACAGACCGTAACAGCCTAGAGTCCAGGTGGGCTCAGTAATCATTTCTGGATACTGATTTTTTCTTAGTGGATGTAAGTGGTAACCAGATTTATTCCAGGTTTCTTATGTGAAGGACTCCTTTCTTCAGTTTGCTCACTTCACATTTAGTTTACATTGTGAATTGATTAAATTATACCATTCTTTGAGTTTTTGCTAGAAAGGCATTATGATAAAGTATTGCATAAGGCAAGCCTGTTACAGATTTTTAATTATGACAAATACTGTCAAAACAAATTTCTGCGTTCTATAATATTTGTGAATTCTAGCTCACTTCTTTTTACAAGGTAATTCAGTGAAATTCTGGTTCAACCAAAATATTCTTATATAAGGATCAAGACTGTAAATAGCAAGCAGCTGCTTGAAGAGATAGGCTATGAGTCTAATTTCCCTTAGAGTGTCCATGTAACACATTTAGAGATCAGATTTGAGCCAGGCTTTTTTCATGATTTCATGTTTATCTGGCTTTTTCCTTAATTACACTGATTTCTTTAGTGCTTAGGTCTTTTCTCTCAGATCCATATTTACTGTTGTTTGCCAAATGTGTTATCACTCAAGTTTGCCAGATGTCACTCGTTTTTGACTGAATAGTACCTAGCAGGTGCCAGGGTATCTGTCCTAAATTTGGTAGTAAGTGTTGTTAGTGATTGTGATAAGGAGCACGATACTCATTTTTGAGTACAGAAGGAATGTTATTAAAAGAAAATTTTAATGTATTTAGAGAAATCAAGTACATTGGACAAAGTCTTGGAGTTTTTGAAATGAGAAAACATTGTGTCATTGTTTAGGAAGAAATGTGACCAGTTGCTACTGTTTTTGTTTTACTGGTAGAGCCATGTGTCCCTTGGATTAATTCTCCTGGGAACTGGAACAGAAGAATTAAGCTTGAGGCTGGGACTCATGTTCTTTTAAGTTTTAGCACCAGTTCTGATTCTCTTTTGTCATAAATATGACAGAAAAACAGTCACATTTTTTTTTGGCCCTGTTTTTAAGTGTAAACTGATATTTATTCTTTGGGAATACTGTTAGGCTAAGTGTAGGTTGTTCAAATAAGAAAACCATAATTAAAAAAAGAATTCATGTGTAAAGCATGTTTACCTCTCTTAAATGCTTTTGGGGAAGAATACTGTCCTATTAATTTAGGCTTTTTTTCTGAAAGAGTTTCCTTTTATTGAAAGTTGCCTGCAATGATGAGTAGGTTAGCAGAACTGTTTTCTCTTTAGACCTTATACTGCTTCAGAATACGTGTTTTGGAATGACTCCGTTTTGAGGCAGAAAGTAAGTCATATTTTCCTGAATGGAAAACAATGGGGAGATCTTTCAAAACAACTTTTCCCTATCTTAAATATTTGAGTCACTAACTGAAGGTGTATTTACAAAAAGGTCTAGTTTTAGGTCTTTTAGGCTCTGGGTAGAAAACTGGATAAAATCACAAAGCCATAATAGGTTCAGATTATGGCTCCGTTCTATTTGGCCTTTGCCCCAATTAGCTCCTTGAGGCAAGAGTTAAATTCTTTTATCTTTGCATCCATTGAATCACCAGTAATGGTGATAAGAAGATACCCATTTTTGAATACCGAAGTTCTTACAAATGTCCTTAAAATTAATCAAATGCCTTGCTGGACATAACTTGGATAAAGGAATTCTTTTTTCTTGCTCTAGGTGCACATTAAAGATCCAAAACCATGACAGATTCCAAGTACTTCACAACAAATAAGAAAGGTAAGTATACAAACCTGATGAAAGAACTTTTGAGTTCTTTTGAGATTCTTCAAAAGTTGTGGTATAAGATTGCCACAAGTGGGAAGTTCTTGATGTCTTCAGATAAGTAGACATCCACAGTCTCATTGAGGAACTTCTGCTTCTACAGAAAAGTGTATTTGAGCAAATTCCTGAAGTATAGGTTTCTAAAGATAAGACTGTGCTGTACATCATTTTGACTTAAAGGTCCTGTTTTAGTGAAAGGAAGGGCTCCAGCATGGATCCGTTGAAAATTGATAGATCTGAGAAGAAAAGAGTAAGAAGCATGTTTCTTTTCTTTTCATTTTTTTACTTGGAAATAAACATTTTATAACAAATATGATTAAAGCAGTATAGATATATAAAAAATACAAATGAAAGTTCTTTTCCCCCTCCTTGTACCTGAGGGGAACTAGGTGTGTATAATCAGTCTTTTTCTGTGCATATAAATGCATGTATTAATACGGTTTAAACATTTTTCTGTCTTTAACAAAAAAGGAGCCATGCAAAACTACATAGAAATGTGATGTTTTTACATCTTTCCATACAGATCCACCTCATTTTTGGGCTTTGTTTAATATATTCTTTGTAGTTAAAATAGGGAACCGTTTGAGTCAATTCCATGATTTTTAAGTCAGGCTGTTGATTAATAAATTTGAATTTATTAGCTCATCCATCTTTGTAGTGACAAATAACATATTTGTTTTTACATATGACTGTGGGGCTAGAAACTAAGGGTTCTTAGGAAAAGTCCAAATTCCTCATCTTTTGTAAAATTGTTCCTAAATAACGAAGTTCATTTCTAGTGCTATGTACATGGCCCTCCCATCAAAAGCAGGCCAGTTTAGCCCTTCTCAGGCTGTTGTGTGCCTCAGCTGAGCTTACTTACTCCTCAGGATCAGAATTCTGTGTTTTTGTATTCAGTCCTCCTCATAGTTACTGAAGTATTCTGGGCGTGATACCAGCTAGCATTCCTCTTATTCTCCAACAGCTTGTCTTCTCAGATGTACCTTTTCTCCTCTCCCCCAGGGGCCGAAATATGACTGCTTTTCTGCCCCACAATTTATCTTTGTTGTTATTCCATGTAATGTGTACTGGCCTCAGCCTCCTGACTGTTGTGAGATTTAACTGAGTTTGGTCTTTCGTCTTGAACACTTTGCAGAGTCTTTCTACGTTGATTTATTAATTCCATTCATTTATTCGGTAAATGTTTATTGAGTGCCTACTATGTGTGAGTCAGATTTTCTCAACACTGTAAAATATATAGAGTTACTATTAAATACCCTAATTTCTTTCAAGTTAGAGTACACCAAATGCCTAAATCTTGTTTTCTAAATACCATTTCCCACTAAAAGGAGTCATGATTCTTTGGAGAAAGGGCTGATTCCAGGGCAGGGTCAAGGCAGAGTACTAGGTGAACATAACATCTTGTACCAGAAAGGAGGGGAGCGCTGAAAAAATGATGGGACATGTCAAGGAGCAGTGCAGTTTGAAGGGGCTCCCACTGGCCAAATTTGAGATGGTTTCATCATTTAAAAAAGAGATCACGGTGGACTCTTAACTCATTGAATAATACATACGTATATACACATAAATCATCATCATAACTAATTCAGGCAGGAGTCACTGATGAATGCTAAACCAACTAGCGGGTGAAAGTTTTTGAGGAATAGGATATTTAAATAGTCTGCAAGTTACCTTTTCACAGATTATTTACCAATTACAAAGGAAAAAATAGTAACTTTACAGTGTCAAAACTTGGCATTTACCACCTTAAGTATTCCATGCTACCATCACCAGTAGATAAATTAACATTTATCTCTTGATGTCGTGCACTGAGAACACACCATCACTTAAGAATTTGCTGCCAAGATGCTTAACCTCAGTGTAATCGTGAGGGAATACCTGTGACAAACCCAAACTGAGGGCGTTCTATAAAATAACTGGCCCGTACTTAAAAATAAATACTCTCATGAAACACAAAGGCTGAGGAACTGTTGCCCATTAAAGAAGACTAAAGAGATATGAGAGTAAATGTATTGTATGATCCTGGGCACAGCAGGGTAGGGGTAAAATTGCTATAAAGGACATTATCAAGACCTTTGAATAAAGTCTAAAGATAGATGATGGTGACGTATCAATTGTAAACTTCCTGATTTTGATCATTATATTTTGGTTATGTAAGACAATTGTTCTTAGGACTTATACACTGACATATTTAGAGCTAAAGGACATGATGGCTGCAGCATACTGTTAAATGATTCAGGGAATAAATATGCAAATCTAAAATATGGTAAAGCAAATGTGGCGCCAGTGTTAACAATTGGGGAATCTTGCAGCTTCCCTTTAAGATTGAAATGATTTAACAGGCACATGAAAAGATGCTCCACATCGCTAATTATCAGGGAAATGTAAATTAAAATCATAATGAGATATCACCTCACCCCAGTTAGGATGGCCACCATAGAAAAGACTAGGAACAACAAATGCTGACCAGGATGTGGAGAAAGGGGAACCCTCCTACGCTGCTGGTGGGAATGTAAGCTAGTTCAACCATTGTGGAAAGCAGTATGGAGGTTCCTCAAAAAACTAAAAATGGAAATACCATTTGACCCAGGAATTCCACTCCTAGGAATTTACCCTAAGAATGCACAATCCCATTTGGAAAGACATATGCACCCCTATGTTTATTATCACAGCACTATTTACAATAGCCAAGAAACGGAAGGAATCTAAGTGTCCCATCAGTAGATGGATGGATAAAGAACAGGTGGTACATACACACAATGGAATATTATTCAGCCATAAAGAGAAAACAAATCCTACCATTTGCAACAACATGGATGAAGCTGGAGGTATTATGCTCAGTGAAATAAGCTAGGTGGAGAAAGCCAAGTACCAAATGATTTCACTCATTTGTGGAGCATAAGAACAAAGCAAAAACTGAAGGAACAAAACAGCAGCAGACTCACAGAATCCAAGAATGGACTAACAGTTACCAAAGGGAAAGGGACTGGGGAGGGTGAGTGGGAAGGGAGGGAGAAGGGGAATAAGGGGCATTATAATTAGCACACATAATGTATGTGTGGGGGGCACGGGGGAGGCAGTATACCACAGAGAAGACAAGTAGTGACTGTATAGCATCGTACTATGCTGATGGACAATGACTGTAATGGGGTATGTGGTGGGGCTTGATAATGGGGGGAATCTAGTAACCACAGTGTTGCTCATGTGATTGAATATTAATGATACTCAAAAAAAATACTGTTAAAAAAAAAGTTTGAAATGATTGAAAAATGAAAGAAAAATAGGTCATGCTATAGTTGCCTGGAGTGAACAGGGAGCTCCAGAACATTTTCTAGAAAACACAAATACGTCAGTCCTATTCTGTCATTTGGAGCTATGTAAGGGTACATTACAGACACCTCCACAGTGAGTTGTTGAAGTGTATCAGCTGCTAGTGGCTTTCAACCTTGCCTGCACCTTAAAGTCGCCTAGGAAGTTTAAAACATACTGGTGAGCCCCCAGAAATCCTGATTTCGTTGGTCTGTGATGTGGCCCAGTCGTGGGGGATTTTTAAAATCTCCCCACATTTTTCTAATTTGTAACCAAGATTGAGAACCATTGCTAGCTGCTAACCATGTTTGGTAGATTTTTATAGGGGGAGGAGTAGCAGTAAAAGATAGGAATTTAATGGTATGTACGAGATAGATGTCTGGCTTAGTGGCCCTCCTTGGCTCCACCCAGCTTATTCCCTATGTTTATTATTTATATCTCCCAAAAACCATCAGTCCATTGTCACTCATTTTCAGCTTTTTTCAGAATCTCTTATTGTGAAATGTGTTTATTTATTCTGTTAATGACCAAGATATTCTATAATGACATGAAAGGTTTAATTTAAAACTCACCTAACTTCTCAAACCTTCCTTCTCTTGCAGTGGATCCTGGTAACCTTTTTTTATTCAGGGATTTGTTTAAGTTTAAGACTTACAGATTGAATCACACCTGGGTGAACCACCACATTTAGAAAAAAATGGATAGGCCGAGTTCCCTTTACTTCCTACATCGCCCACCAGAACTGCCACTGGAACATACTCTTTAAGTTATGCTGTTGGAATAGTTTCAGTTACATCCTGTTTTGATTCTTTAAGTCCTGCTGCTAGTCCCAGTGCAGACTTTTTGAAACCCTGCTGCTTGTCCTTTACAGTTCCCGAAAGTAAATGATGGGAACCCAGAGAGCTGGATTTGGCAGCAGAGGACTTGGTGAAGAGACAGTTGACTCTTAAAAGGTCTAGCTTTTCTGGTTCAGCTGTTTTTGCAGCTGTCCATTAAATCAGTGATTTTTGTAACATTGATTTGGTTGTCCTGTTGGCCATGGCTATTGTGTAACAAATCTTTTTAGTGCTCAACTTCTGTGTTTCTTGCCAGTTTCATCCTTCCCATTTAGAGGCTTTAGCAGATCACATAGTTTGCCGCCCCATTATTTCTAACTGGTGAATGAGGTCTGGTTAAAATGAACATCAAGAGCAGCCATAAAGGTGGAGGGAAATGAGGCAGTTATTGTAGCAGAGTTTAAGCGTACAGATGGAAGGTTGAACTGGGAGTAGTCTACTTTTTCATGGGCTTAGTGGTGTATTTTCTTTCTTTTAAAACCAGCAAGGATTGTTACCTTCTCTTTTCTGGTTCAGCTTTCTGAAGATAGGTGAGCCTGAGCCTTATAGTTCCCCTGGCATTTCACAGTGCAGGGCCCGAGGGTCATTCAGGTTGGACCTTTAGAAATGACTCTGGTTTGTACCATTCTTGAAACTTCAAGATTATAATTTCTGTTTGATTGATTGAATAGGATGAAGCCTTAAAACCCACTGGCTTCTAATTAGAGAGCAGTGATTCTCAATCCTAGTTGTGCATTAGAATCGCTTGGGGGAACTTAGAAAAATATGAACTTAAGAGTTCTCCTTGACATGCTGACTTATTTGGCCCAGAGTGGAGCCTGAGCATTGTTGTTTTTAAATACTTCCCAGGTAATATTAGTGGGTGGGCAAGGTTGAGAACCTCTGGATTCAGCAGTCTGGAGAGACAGCTCGAAGGTAGCTCGCTCTGTCATTAACTCACTGTGATCTTTGAGCCTTGGCTCTTTATTTGTGAAGTTGAGAGTGGGTGAATGATATGATAACTGGAGTCTCTTCTGGCTTGAAGACAATGGTTTGTGAACCCTTTCCTTGTCTGCGTGTATTGTTCCCCTAGGATCTTGCAGTTCTGATGGGAGGTGATCCCGCAGATGCCATTTCTTCCTCATGGTGTTAAGATTTCAGGAGATCTGTTTTCCCACTCCTGTGCCTCCTCAGATCTCGATTGTACCCCCCTCTTTGGCCATACCTTAAAAAACGGTATCCTCATCAGTGGGTCAGTTGATGTTGTAGGGACTTGACTTGTACCTATCCTATAATTGAAAAATTTTTATTTCAGTTACTGCCCTGCCTCTGGTCTGGTGTTGTGGTGTTACTTGTTATGTGGTACACTGTTGTGCTCTGGTTCTCCCGTTTGGGGACCTCACCCTTCTGTTTTCTTGTAGGAGAAATCTTTGAATTAAAGGCTGAACTCAACAATGAAAAGAAAGAAAAGAGGAAGGAGGCTGTGAAGAAAGTGATTGCTGCTATGACTGTGGGGAAGGATGTTAGGTAAGGGTGGTCGCCCCTGCCGTTGGTCACTTTAGACCCATATCCTACTTTATGGCTTTTACTGCTTTTCCTTGACAACTGTTATAATCATAGACCCTATGAAAATGGATTTGTCCCACTGAAAACATCATGAGGGAAATTACTTGTCTGTTAACTCATGGCTTAAGCTTTCTTGATCTTGTTTTGGCAGAATAAATAGTTTGATTTTGTTGCATACATGCAGCATAAAACCTGAGAGCTGGCACAGTTACAAACCTGTTGCTGACTTTTAGAAGATGATAAAAATATACTGGGAAGCAGAAACTCTTACGTTGTTTAATTGGCTCCAGTCAGTACCCTTAACTTTACAGCTCTACATTCAATTGCTGACTTCAAGATGAAAACAAATGTTAACAAAATGCACTGGGTCTTTTTGGTTTTCTTATTTTCTTTCTTCCTTCCTTCCTTCCTCCCTTCCCTTCCTCCTCTCTTCCTCCCCTTCCTTCGTCTTTTTTTATGTAGTTGATATATCAAGAGCATTTTGAATTAAGTAAGGAGTATTGTAGGCCTCTCAGGATTCCTAAGATTCTTCCAGGGAGTCCATGAGGTCATATCTATTCTTATAATTATAATACTTAACTTTTTCACTGTGTTGCCATTTGTACTTCTGATGCCTTAGCATAAATCAAGGCAGTGATGCCAAACTATGACAGTAGTCAATGTATATTCTTCACCACTGTGTTTTTACAGGAAAAAGGCAGTTTCACTTAGGTCTGTTCTTCATGAAGCATTGAAACTTCTACTTTGCTAAACCTTGAATCTTGAGTACAGGTCTTACTAATAATCCATATGGTGAAATAGGATATACTGAGTTAAATAAAATAAAATAATTAATTTGTTTTACTTTTTTAATGTCCTACCAGAAAATTTAGAAGTATGTCAGTCATTCAAAAATACGGTGTCCCCATTTCAAACAATTGTTCAAGGGCTTTTCTTTTTCAAGTCAGCCACCACACTTTGCTGTGCAGAAGTGCTTTATATGTAATTATTATATTTTATTTAACTCAGTATATCCAAAGTAGTATTATTTCAACATGAAATCAATATTAAAAAATTATTAATGAACTCTTACATATTTTTCGTGCCAACTCTTCAAAATCCAGTATATGTTTTACATAGACATCACATCACAGTTCAGACTAGCCACATTGCAAGCGCTCAGTAGCTCTATGTGACTAGTGGCTACCCTATTGGAAAGTTCAGGTTTCTAGCTTTATAGGTTGGTACTTAACAATTTTTACCTCTAGAACTTTGACTGTTCTTTTTTCTTCTGTTGAAGTATAGTTGATATACAAGATTACATTGGTTTCAATTATACAACACAATGATTCATCAGTTAAACCCATTATTAAATCCTCACCCCAACTAGTGTGGTTACTATCTGTCAACACAGAAAGATGTTACAGAGCCATTGACTATATTCTCCATGCTGCACTACCATCCCTGTGACCAGCTTATATTATGATTGGGAGTTTGTGACCCTGTATACCATCCCCAACACCTGCCACAAGCCCTCGCTCACCTACCCAGACACCCCTCCCCCTCCCCCATGGTGTCTGCCAGAGCTTTGACTATTTTTTATCAAGATCTTGATCTTGTGGAGGTTGTTGGAATTAATTTATTTAGGATCTTAAAGTTACTATTAGCTCATGTTTCACATTTATTTACTGGTTTTACTGTTGTTTTGCACATGAGCTATTTCCTATTAGCCTAGGACATGGAAAGAATGGTCATTTTTGAAGTGTCAATTAATGTTTTAAATATCTACATGTGCATGAAACTACACTAGGTACATACAGGCAAGTTAAAGTCATTGGTTCCAGGTAAGAAGTCATTGGTTCATTGGAGGTAATGGTGGATTCTTTGACTTTGCAGTCCATCTTCATCTTTGTGAATAATTTGTATTTCTGTATATTGTTTTTCTGCATGTACAGGAGTTATACTATATAAGCAGGTTTTCAGTCATTCTGTTAACTTTTCTGTAGAATATACTGACATTTGCTTTTTCATTCTCCTGTACTAGTGTTAAGATATTTAGAAGAATTGAAAGTTCATAAGGTACTTTGAAAAAGCCTTCGGGGACGGTTAATTACTAACTTCATGTAAAAGTATCATTAACCATACTTAAAAAATACGGCTTGTAATTTAAAATCTGACACACTCAACCCTTCCATGCAAAAGGTGATTCTTTGTGAATGGAAATATAAATTTCTTTTCTTTGGCTTTATATGTGAATGATAGACCAGGCAATGACTTGAACATTGGAAAAAGTATAAATTCCTTTTACATTTTGAGTGCACTCATTTTAATTTGTTTGAATGTGTAATGTTAAAAATAAATACATTCTACTAAAAGAGAATCAGGATGTATTAAAAAAGTGACTGAATCTAGTTGTGGGATTAGAAATACACAAAATGAGCCTGAGTTGTGGGATTAGAAATACACAAAATGAGCCTGGATGGAATGCGCCTTGTTCTCTCAGAAAGCAAGGAAGCTATTGAAAACACAGATTTATATCACAAGAACCCAGGAGCTAGTAACTAAATAAGTTAAAATCAAGGATGGAAGAATATAAGTTTTAAAAAGCTTAACAACTGTAGTTCTTTGAAACTGCAATGAATTGATAGGAAGAATTTGGATTTTTGTATGTGATACTGTGATATTTTTAAAAAATGATTCCTCAAGGTATGCACTAAAATATTATGTATAAATGATAACAGTGTCTAGGATTTGCTTAAAAATAATCCAGAGCAACCATATGGAGTAGGGACTAGGGGAGGGAAGAGTAGGTTGAGGCTATATATCAAACAAGATTGGTCATGGGTCAAAAGTTGTTGGCAACTGTGTGGAGAATATACATCAGGTTCGTTTTACTACTCTTTCCTTTTGTTTGACAGTTTTTGTAAGTTAAAAAAAATTATTTTTACAGACCTTCGTGGAACCAGCACTGTAATTTCTTTAGTAATTTGTTTCTGTGATAATAATTATCATGTGGGGACACTTGTCCTTGCACCAATCACTTTGTAAAATAAGGTCATTTCTTCATATTCGATCCAACAGCTTTAACACCAACATCTATTGACTCCCTTCTTTTTTCTCTCTTTTCAGCTCTCTCTTTCCAGATGTAGTGAACTGTATGCAGACTGACAACCTGGAGCTAAAGAAGCTCGTGTATCTCTACTTAATGAACTATGCCAAGAGTCAGCCAGATATGGCTATCATGGCTGTTAACAGCTTTGTAAAGGTAACTTCTCCCCAAAGACTCAGGAGCAGTCTCTTCTACCTCAGCCTTTGCAGAAGTGTTTCTTGATATAGTGCAAACAAGCAACCTCTGTTCCAAAAGAGGGCCTCCAGAGAAGTAGAGGCAGTGACTGGGACCATTCATATTTTAAGCACATATATGCCTACATTTGTCATCCAGTTAAATGGGGAGCCTTGTTAGTTGGGCTTGGTGCATCCTTGGAGATGGAGAAGAAAGCCAGGTGAAACCTGTTGTACCTTCCAAGGCTGACAAAGGTTGGGCTTACCATTGTAAGATCAGTAAACTGGGGCTTTAACTATTTTATCTTTGTAGAAATTATGCTTACAAGTCCAAAGTAGCGGAAAAACTGCAGGAGCTACTACTACTTTTGCTTCACATAAGGTGTTAAAATGTTTGGTAAGGTTTTTCATTATGTAAGTTTTGAAATATGTTCAAGGAGAGGACATAGTGTAGTAACTTCCTAAATACCCACCTTGGCAGTTTCAATAGTTACTAACCCACAGCTGGGCTTGTTTTAATTTATACTCCTCATAAATACTTTGTTGACCCCTAACCCTCTCCTCCTGGATGATTTTGAAGCAAACCCTTTTTGAAGTTACAAGGATGTAAAACAATACAATCAATGATTGTATTGTTACAAGGATGAAAAATCAGTTCATCCTTACATTTATCAGAGTAAGACCTCCCTCCCTCCCTTCCTTCCTCCCTCCCTCCCTCGCTCCCTCCCCCCTTCGCCCCTCCCTCCCCTCCCCTCCCTTTTTGGTATCATTAATGTACAATTACATGACCAACATTATGATTACTAGAGTCCCCCTATTATCAAGTCCCTTCCACATACGCCATTACAGTCACTATCCATCAGCATGGTAAGATGCTATAGAAGCACTACTTGTCTTCTCTGTGTTCTACTGCCTTCCCTGTGTACCCCCTCCCACATTATGTGGGCTAATCATAATGCCCCTTTTCCCCCCTTATCCCTCTCTTCCCACCCATCCTTCCCAGTCCCTTTCCCTTTGGTAACTGTTAGTCCATTCTTGGATTCTATGATTCTGCTGCTGTTTTCTTCCTTCAGTTTTTCTTTGTTCTTATACTCCACATATGAGTGAAATCATTTGGTACTTGTCTTTCTCCGCCTGGCTAATTTCACTGAGCATAATACCCTCTAGGTCCATCCATGTTGTTGCAAATGGTAGGAGTTGTTTTCTTCTTATGGCTGAATCATATTCCATTGTGTGTATGTACCACATCTTCTTTATCCACTCCTCTACTGATGGACACTTAGGTTGCTTCCATTTCTTGGCTATTGTAAATAGTGCTGCGATAAACATAGGGGTGCATCTGTCCTTTTCAAGCTGGGCTGTAGTATTCTTACAGTAAATTCCGAGGAGTGGAATTCCTGCGTCAAATGGTATTTCCATTCTGAGCTCTTTGAGGAACCTCCATATTGCTTTCCACAATGGTTGAACTAATTTACATTCCCACCAGCAGTGTAGGAGGGTTCCCCTTTCTCCACAACCTCGCCAGCATTTGTTGTTTGTCTTTTGGATGGTGGCGATCCTTACTGGTGTGAGGTGATATCTCATTGTGGTTTTAATTAGCATTTCTCTGATGAGTAGCGATGTGGAGCATCTTTTCATATGTCTTTTGGCCATCTGAATTTCTTCTTTGTATAACTGTCTATTCAGCTCCTCTGCCTGTTTTTTAATTGGATTGTTTACTTTTTGTTTGTTGAGGTGCATGAACTCTGTATATTTAGGATGTCAGTCAGCCCTTTATCGGATCTGTCATTTATAAATATATTCTCCCATACTGTAGGATGCCTTTTTGTTCTACTGATGGTGTCCTTTGTTGTACAGAAGCTTTTCAGCTTGATATAGTCCCAGTTGTTCATTTTTCCTTTTGTTTCCCTTGCCCGAGGAGATATGTTCATGAAGAAGTCGCTCATGTTTATGTCCAAAAGATTTTTGCCTATGTTTTTTTCTAAGAGTGTTATGGTTTCATGACTGACATTCAGATCTTTGATCCATTTCGAATTTACTTTTGTGTATGGGGTTAGAGCAGTGATACAGTTCCATTCTCTTACACTTAGCTGTCTAGTTTTGCCAGCACCATCTGTTGAAGACACTGTCATTTCCCCATTGTATGTCTATGGCTCCTGTATCATATATTAATTGACCATATATGTTTGGGTTAATGTCCGTAGTCTCTATTCTGTTCTGCTGGTCTGTTGCTCTGTTCTTGTGCCAGTACCAAATTGTCTTGATTACTGTGCCTTTGTAGTAGAGCTTGAACTTGGGGAGCAAGATCCCCCCCCACTTTAGTGTTCCATCTCAGGATTGCTTTGACTATTTGTGGTCTTTGGCATCTCCATATGAATTTTTCAACTATTTGTTCCAGTTCGTTAAAGAATGCTGTTGGTAATTTGATAGGGATTGCATCGAATCTGTGTATTGCTTTGTGTAGGATGGTCATTTTGATGATACTAATTCTTCCTTTCCAAGAGCATGGGATGAGTTTCCATTTGTTAGTGTCCTGTTTAATTTCTCTTAAGAGCGTCTTACAGTTTTCAGGGTATTGATCTTTCACTTCCTTGGTCAGGTTTATTCCTAGGTATTTTATTCTTTTTGATGCTATTGTGAATGGAATTGTTTTCCTGATTTCTCTTTCTATTAGTTCATTGTTAGTGTATAGGAGAGCCACAAATTTCTGTGTAGTAATTTTTTATCCTGTAACTTTGCTGAATTCCGATATTAGTTCTAGTAGTTTTATTTAGAGTGGAGTCTTTAGGGTTTTTTATGTACTATATCATGTCATCTGCAAATAGTGACACTCTGATTTCTTAACCGATCTGGATTCCCTGTATTTCTTTGTTTTGTCTAATTGCCGTGGCTAGGACCTCCAGTATAATGTTGAATAACAGTGGGGCAAGTGGACGTCTATGTCTTGTTCCCAATCTCAGAGGAAAAGATTTTAACTTCTCGCTGTTTAGTATGATGTTGGCTGTGGGTTTATCACATATGGCCTTTATTATGTTGAGGTTCTTGCCCTCTATACCCATTTTGTTGAGAGTTTTTATCATGAATGGATGTTGAATTTGTTGAATGCTTTTTCAGCATCTGTGTAGATGATCATGTGGTTTTTGTCTTTTTTGTTTATGTGGTGGATGATGTTCATCGATTTTCAAATGTTGTACCGTCCTTGCCTCCCTGAGATGTATTCCACTTGATCATGATGGATGATCTTTTTGATGTATTTTTACATTCGGTTTGCTATTATTTTGTTGTGTATTTTTGCATCTGTGTTCAGCAGGTATATTAGTCTGTAATTTTCTTTTTTTGTGGTGTCTTTGCCTGGTTTGGTATTAGAGTGATGTTGGCCTCGTAGAGTGAGTTTGGGAGTATTCCCTTTTTTCCAACTTTTTGGAACGTTTAAGGAGGATGGGTTTTTACTAAATGTTTGATAAAATTTAGCAGTGAAACCGTCTGGCCCAGGAGTTTCGTTCTTAGGTAGTTTTTTGATTACCGCTTCAATTTCCTTGTTGGTAATGGGTGTATTCAGATTTTCCGTTTCTTCTTTGGTCAGCCTTGGCAGGTTGTATTTTTGTAGAAAGTTGTCCATTTTTTCTATGTTATCCAGTTTGTTACTATATGATTTCACATAGTATTCTCTCATAATTCCTTGTATTTCTGTGGTGTCGGTAGTGATTTTTCCTTTCTCATTTCTGATTCTGTTTATGTGCGTAGACTGTTTTTTTTCTTTTTTCTTGATATGTCTGGCTAAGGGTTTATCTATTTTGTTTAGTTTCTCAAAGAATCAGCTCCTGCTTTCATTGATTGTATTGTTTTATTATTCTCATTTTTATTCATTTCTTCTCTAATCTTTATTATGTCCCACCTTCTGTTGACTTTGGGCCTCATTTGTTCTTCGTTTTCTAGTTTTGTTAATTGTGAGTTTAGACTGTTCATATGGGATTGTTGTTTGTTCCTGAAGTAGGCCTGTATTGCAGTATACTTCCCTCTTAGCATGGCCTTTGCTGTGTCCCACAGATTTTGCAGTGTTGAATTATCATTGTCATTTGTCTCCATATATTGCTTGATCTGTTTTTATTTTGTCAGTGATCTATTGATTATTTAGGAGCATGTTGTTAAGCCCTCATGTGTTTGTGAGCTTCTTCATTTTCTTTGTGTAATTTATTTCTAATTTCATACTTTTGTGGTCTGAGATGGTGGTTGGTACAATTTCAAGATTTTTAAATTTACTGAGGCTCTTTTTGTGGCCTAGTATATGATCTATTCTTGAAAATGTTCTGTGTGCACTTGAGAAAAATGTACATCCTCTTGCTATTGGATGGAGTGTTCTGTAGATGTCTGTTAGGTCCATCTGTTGTAATATGTTGTTCAGTGCCTGTGTCTCTTATTTTCTATCTGGTTGATCTATCCTTTTTTGCTATTGGATGGACTGTTCTCTAGGTGTCTGTTAGGTCCATCTGTTCTAATACGTTGTTCAGTGCCTCTGTCTCTTTACTTATTTTCTGTCTGGTTGATTTGTCCTTTGGAGTGAGTGGAGTATTGTAGTCTTGTAAAATGAATGCATTGCATTCTATTTCCCCCTTTAATTCTGTTAGTATTTGTTTCACATATGTAGGTGATCCTGTGTTGGGTGCATAGATATTTGTAATAGTCATATCCTCTTGTTGGACTGACCCCTTTATCATTATGTAATGTCCTTCTTTGTCTCTTGTGACTTTCTTCATTTTGAAGTCTATTTTGTCTGATACAAGTACTGCAACTCCTGCTTTTTTCTCCCTATTAGTTGCATGAAATATCTTTTTCCATCCCTTTACTTTCAGTCTGTGTATGTCTGGGTTGGAAGTGAGTCTCTTCTAGGCAGCATATAGACGTGTCTTGTTTTTTTATCTATTCAGTGACTCCATATCTTTTGATTGGTGCATTTAGACCATTTACATGTAGGGTGATTATCAATAGGTATATGCTATGTACTTATTGCCATTGCAGGCTTTAGATTCATGGTTACCAAAGGTTCAGTGGTAATTCTCTTACCATCTAACAGTCTGATTTGACTCAGTTCGTATGCTATTCGAAATACAGCCTTAAAGGTTTTTTTCTTTTTTCTTCTCTCTCTTTTCTTCCTCCTCCATTCTTTGTATATTAGGAATCATATTCTGTACTCTTTGTCTATCCCTTGATTGACTTTGGGGGTGGTTGATTTGATTTTTCATCTGCTTAGTAATTAATTGTTCTACATTGCTGTCGTTTTATTTCTCCTGGTGATATCTGTTTAGCCTTAGGAATGCTTCCATCTATATCTGTCCCTCCAAAATGCACTGTAAAGGTGGTTTGTGGGAGGTAAATTCTCTCGGCTTTTACTTATCTGAAAAATCATTTAATCCGTTCTTCCAAATTAAATGATAACCTTGCTGGACACAGTATTCTTAGTTTGAGGCCCTTCTGCTTCATTGCATTAAATATATCATGCCACTCCCTTCTGGTCTGTAAGGTTTCCCTTGAGAAATCTGATGATAGCCTGATGGGTTTTCCTTTGTATATCATAATTTTTCTGTCCGTAGCTGCTTTTAAAGGTCTGTCTTTATCCTTGGTCTTACTGCCATTTTAATTATTGTATGTCTTGCTGTTGTCCTTTTTGGGTTCCTTGTGTTGGGAGATCTGTGCATCTCCGTGGCATGAGAAACTATCTCCTTCCCCATATTGGGGAAGTTTTCAGCAGTTACCTCCTCAGTGACACGTTCTATCCCTTTATGTCTCTCTTCTTCTTCCTCTGGTACCCCTATAATGCAAAAGTTGTTCCATTTGGATTCATCACACTGCTCTCTCAATATTCTTTCATTCTTAGAGATCCTTCTTTCTCTCTGTGCCTCAGTTTCTTTGTATTCCTCTTTGCTAATTTCTATTCCATTAAACATCTCTTCTACTTCCTCTAATGTGCTTTTAAATCCCTCAGTTGTATGTTTCGTTTCAGATATGGAATTTAATGATTGAATCTCCATCTTAAATTCATTCTGAGTTCTCGTATATTTTTCTGTTCCTCCATGAGCATGTTTATGATTTTTGTTTTGAGCTCTCTTTCAGAAAGATTGGTGATTTCAGTTTCATTTTGCTCTTGTTCTGGTGTTTGTGAGATTTTGGTGTGAACCAGGTTCCTTTGACGTTTCATATTTCTATGTGGTGCCCTGTAGTGCCCAGAAATTCTAGTCTCTGGAGCTGCTCAGCCCCTAGAGTGAGGTTGGGTGTTGTAGGGGAGCAGCTCTAGTGCTTGGGGGCAGGAAAGAGCTGTTTCCTGATTCGCAGCTACAGTGGCCTGTCTCCAGTATCAGAGCCAGTGGGCTGAGCACAGAGGTGCAAGTCTCTGTGCTTTGCGTCTCTAGCTGATGTAGGCGTTTCCTCCCTCTCTCTGGCCTGACACCAGCGCAGTGACTGCTGGTTTGTGAGCAGGTACCGGCAGGCTAGGAGGAAGGCTCAGTAGGCTGGGTGTCACATAGCTGAGTAGTCAGCCAGGGGGATGGAGCGCCTGAAGCTCCACAAAGTTCCCAACCTGCTAGGCAGAGCGCACCCAGACAACCTTGTCCACCTCTCCCTTCTCCCGTGCAGCAAGCTCTGTGCAAACCTTGCCCCTTCAGCAGCCCTCTCACTGCTAGGAAGCCTCTCAGACCTACTGCTTTTCCTTTGTCCCAGAGCAGCCGGATGTGGATCCCTGTCCTGCACAAACGGCCCGAATCTCAGTCTCTCGAGCACTCTGCCTGTCCCACCTCCCCAACCCCACGAACCTCCAGAGCACCACACAATGTAGGTTTGTACTTGCAAAGTAGATCTCCAGGGCTGGGTGTTCAGCAGTTCTAGACTTCCTCCCACTCTGTGCTCCATTTCTCTTCCTCCTGCCGGTGAGTTGGGGTGGGGGAAGGACTTGGGTCCCGCCGGATCAAGGCTTCTGTATGTTACCCTGTTTCATGAGATCTGCTCTGTTCGTGAGGTCTGTATGCAGTCTGGTGCAGCCTTCTTTCCTGTTGCTTTTTTAGGTTTGGTTGTATAAACTATATTTTCATACTATATGTGGTTTTGGGTGGAGGTCTCTGTCTCACCTCTCAAGCCGCTGTCTTGAATGTCATCAGACCTCTTTTAATCATAACTGTATTACCATTCTCACGTCTTTAAAAATTCACCATTAAAAAATTGCTTAATATTATTGAATATTCAGTCATGTTTTTCCTACCATTAGATGTAATTAACATGATAACGATGTTCCAGTTGGTGTATATATTTTTTTACTTCTTGTTTTTTTTCCTCTGGAATTCAGTCTGCATTAAAAAAAAAAATCATATGGCATTTCTAAAATTAGCTTCTGTTAAACTGTTTTGAAAAATAACCAGTATGCTCTCTTCCTTCTCTTGGAATTTTTCTTTTCCTGTGTTTAGCTACATAGAGCAGAATCAGAGATAACATAATATTTCATTCTGTCTATTATTTCATATATGTACTACATCATTGGAAAGAATTTGGTTTACATTTTTTGGAAGTGAGCATGTACACAGGTTTACAATAATTACAGAGATTTTGTAAGATAGGACAATTTAAGGTGTGCTCTTTTTGTGGTATACTTTGGAAGCCCTTGCTAGTAAAGGAGAATGTATGTTACTCAGGATTTCACAGGGCCTTCTTAACTCCAGAAACTTAGGTCAGGCCCAAAACCAGTTTCTGTGCTCTCTCCTTTCTTGTCTGTAGGCCCCAGAAATCCAGTCCTCTTTTCTCCCTACTTGATATTTGCAGACTGGCTGTGGAGTGGGACACGTCTTTCCACTTCCTCATTTTATCCCTGTATCGGAATACCAGACCAAAGGCCTTTACTGTTTTTTGTTGTTGTTGTTAGACTGTTATTTTATTAAGGTAATATTGATATATACTCTTATGAGGATTTCACATGAAAAATATTGTGGTTACTACATTCACTGATATTATCAAGTCCCTCCCATACCCCACTGAAGTTACTGTCCATGAGTGTAGTAAGATGCCACAGAGTCACTACTTGTCTTCTCTCTGCTGCAGTGTCTTTCCCGTGACTCCCTGCACCCCATGTGTACCAATCATAATACCCCTCAATCCCCTTCTCCCTCTCTCTCCACCCATCCTTCCCCACCCCTCCCCTTTGGAGTCTGTGAGTCTGCTGCTGTTTTGTTCCCTCATTTTTGCTTCGTTGTTATACTCCACAAATGAGTGAAATCATTTGGTACTTGTCTTTCTCCGCCTGGCTTATTTCACTGAGCATAATACCCTTTAGCTCCATCTGTGTTGTTACAAATGGTAGGATTTGTTTTCTTCTCATGGCCGAATAGTATTCCATTGTGTGTATGTACCCCATCTTCTTTATCCATCCATCTACTGATGGACAGTTAGGTTGCTTCCATATCTTGGCTATTGTAACTAGTAGGGGTGCATATAACTTTTTGAATCTGAGATCTTGCTTTCTTTGGGTAAATTACTTGTTCAAATGCTATTTCTATTTATAGTTTTTTGAGGAACCTCCATACTGCTTTCCAGAATGGTTGAACTAATTTATATTCCCACTAGCAGTGAAGTAGGGTTCCCCTTTCTCCACATCCTCACCAGCATTTGTTGTGCCTAGTCTTTGCGATGTTGCCATCCTAACTGGTGTGAGGTGATATCTCATTGTGGTTTTAGTTTACATTTCCCTGATAATTAGTGATGTGGAGAATCTTCTCATGTTCCTGCTGGCCATCTGAATTTCTTTGGAGGAGTGTATGATCCTCCTCCCATTTTTTAATAGGGTTATTTGCTCTTTGTGTGTTGAAGCAGGTGTTTGAGTTCTTTATATATTTTGGATGCTAATCCTTTGTCAGAGATGTTGTTTATAAATATATTCTCCCTTACTGTAGTATGCCTTTTTATTCTACTGATGGTGTTCTTTACTGTACAGAAAGTTTTTAGTTTGATGTAGTCCCAGTTTTTCATTTTTGCTATTGTTTCCCTTGTCCAAGGAGATGTGTTCAGGAAAAAGTTGCTCATGCTTACATTCAAGAGATTTTTCCCTGTTTTCTTCTAAGAGTTTGATGGTTTCATGACTTACATTCAGGTCTTTGATCCATTTCAAGTTTACTTTTGTGTATGGAGTTAGAAGATAATCCAGTTTCATTCTCTTACATGTAGGTGTCCACTTTTGCCAACACCAGTTGTGGAAGAGGCTGTGATTTCGCCATTGTATATCTGTGGCTCCTTCATCATATATTAATTGACCATATATACTTGGGTTTATGTGTGGACTCTCTATTTTGTTATACTGGTCTGTGGGTCTGTTCTTAAGGCAGTACCAAATTGTCTTGATTACAGTGGCTTTGTAGTAGAGCTTGGTGTCAGGGAGTGTGATCCCCCCAGCTTTGTTCTTTCTTCTCAGGATTACTTTGGCTATTTGGGGTCTTTTGTGGTTACATGTGAATTTTAGAACTATTTGCTCTCATTCGTTGAAGAATGCTGTTGGTATTTTGATAGGAATTGCATTGAATCTGTAGGTTGCTTTAGTCAGGATGGCCAAGCCTTTTCTGTTTTTAGGACAGGTCCACTAATGGCCGTGGGATGGTGACACCAGATTGTTAGGCTTCTGTCTAATGCAGGAGTTAATACTACTGGTTGTTGTCTTCATTGTGTATATAAGGCAGTGAAATGAATTCCTAATATAAACTCTTTTATTTGTACTTGAAGTGAGTATGAAGATTTATACTTAGGAAGAGGGTATAGCATGAGAGAGAGATTGAGTTTTGGTGTAGAATGTAACTGGATGCTTACATTAATGAAATACTATTCTGTGGCTTATATAAACTAGACTGTTGACTTTAGTCCCTGTGTATGCATGTAGTTGTCAATGATTGTTTTTTGTAGGACTGTGAAGACCCCAGTCCTCTGATTCGGGCCTTGGCAGTTAGAACCATGGGGTGTATCCGTGTGGACAAGATTACAGAATATCTCTGTGAGCCCCTTCGGAAGTGCTTGAAGGATGAAGATCCCTATGTTCGGAAAACAGCAGCAGTCTGCGTGGCAAAACTCCATGATATCAATGCCCAAATGGTGGAAGATCAGGGATTTCTGGATTCTGTGCGGGATCTCATAGCAGATTCAAATCCTATGGTAATAAGATGCTGCTTTTATAAGAGCAGTATTTAAAATGGGTCCTTTTAAAAAAGCATGTTTAAAACAAATCTTATCTTTGGGGCATTAAACCATAGGTTAGCTTTGGAAAGCATGACTTCTGTGTCTACCATAGATTGTCTCTCTCACACCCTAGGTATTTCTGAGGTGAAAACCAAGTATGAAAGTACAAGGATCTTAAAGCAAACCTCTGTATCATCCCTACCCCTGTATTTGTTCAGAAACAAACATGTTCTGCATCATTTTTTTAAAGAGGTTTCACCTTAACTTTATATCAATTTTTTAAAGGATTACTTCTTCAGATAGATGTTTGTGGTATTTTCTGGTAGTGTGGGAATAGGAACTAATAAAAGGTACCATTATTGGCTAATTACTATAATGAATTCTACAGGAGAATTCTAGGACGAGATTATTTTTAGGCAACTTGATTATGTTCAGATTTTTGGCAGCTAGAACATATTTCTCTTACTGACATTTTAAACTTGGCTTGTACAATGAATGGGCATGAGTCCTAAGTGGTACTTTGACTCTCTTAGTGACAGAAGCTCATTTGAAACTAGTGATTGGTCCCAAAGTATCATTTACCAAGAAGATGGAAGACTATAGCTACGTTTTCTCCCCATTTTTCCTAATGAATTATTTACTTGGAGGTGAATTACATTAAGAGTTGATCAGTGGGTAACCTCTGAATACATTTTTTTGGTTGAACTTTTTGAAATAGATGGACATGTCTGCTTTGACCTCTCCTTTGGTTTGTCTTACTCTTCGGATAGTCGTGGATTCTGTTTATAATGTCCTTCAACTTTTAGTACCAAAGTCTAAGGGTGATGCAAGCCACATTTTTTTAAAGGTACTGAGATACTAGCTATCATCAGGAATCTTTTAGCTGCCTCCTGGGCATAGAAGTGGGTGTGTGTTTGTATGTGTTTAAACCATGACTTCTGATAGGGTTGCCACCAGTGTTGGAGAATTCAACCCTGGCTTTTCCCCCTCATGCAGCACCGTATGACACCTTTTTAAAAAATTCGTAGATTTATAAGGAAGTAATATCTGTTTTTTAGAATATTGAGCTGGTACCCACTTGTGCTTTTGGTGTTGCTTTTGATTCATTCTGTTATTCTGAGCAACTGTCTTTGAAATTTTCTGCCTAAGGACAAATGTGAAAATGTTTGGCCTGCACACTCCAAATTTTGGGCATCCAGATGAGCAGGATATCACATACCCTATGGAAACTTGTTGAACATTCAGTGGGGTCAAGAATGTGGAGTGGGATGAGGTAGAAATGCATTATATCTCATACAGGCAATTCCATTTGGGAGAGAAAAAGGCGTTTTTTCCCTGACGTAAGTTCTTCAAAGCAGGACCTATAAAGTCAGATGGTCAGGGATACGGACTATCAGAGTTTCGTAAAGGCTTTTTTTTCTGGTACCTAAGAAGCACTTAAAGATCTTTATTCAGGTGAATTGAGAGGTTGAGATTATCTGGAACAAGCCTAAGTTTCTGATTTATTCAAAGTTTTCATTGTAGAAGATGGGCTGTTTTTTACCTAGTCCATAGTTCTGATGGGAATTTTCAAACATACTCAAAACTAGAGTGACTAAATGAATAAAATAAATTTGAAATGAATCCATGAACTCATTTACTATCACCACGTTCAGTAATTATCAGTACATGCCAGTCATGGGTCACTATTTACTATAACATGGTAACTATAGTCCTTTTTAATAATTCTCAACCTGGTTTTACTACAAACCAGCAGATGATTTGGGGAATTTTTACAAAGTATCTTTGAGAAAACTTCTGGAGAGAATTTAAGGTTACTTGGTAGATTTTTTAGGAACCGTTTCAGGAATGCCTTTTGTTTTATTGTATCTTTATTGCATATTTTCTTAGAGCAGGTGTCAGCATTTGGTCCTAAACTGTTGGACGTACTTCCCCCTAAACAGAGTATCTTTCTCGTTCTTGTCAGATTTCTCAGTAGCACATCTTTCCCTGATACTGTTCAGCCTATTGCAACCAAGGTGCCCAGGGTGCAAAATTCAAGGAAGCATTTGCTCTCAGGTGCCGACTCTGAACTTATGTAAGCCTGAGAGTGGGGTGGCTCTTTACAGTATGTGGTGGAGTGGCTTGCCTTACTCTTCTCCTGGCTTTGTTTTACAGACTTATTTTTAAATCATGTTTTGAGTTCTTCATTCTTGTTGTTTTAGTGAAGGACTTGAAAGGCTTGGACTAATAGGTAGCCAACACACATACACACATGCCTACTTTTGATCTTGAATCCATACTTTTCCATCTCAACTGTATGTCCTGCTTTTTGCCAGATAGTATTAAAACTACCATTAGACCACAGATCTTCCTTTAGGAGTTCGATCAAATGGTGTTGATGGGAAACAGATAAGTGTGTGAGTGTTAAGCACCTTCCAAGATGTAATGGTGGAATGTAAGGTGTAGTAGCTCAAACATACGAAAATATCCTAAGGCTTATGATGACCCTCTGTCATTAGGAAACAGGAAATTTAAATTTAAGTGTATTCTGTGCCAGGCACAGTGATGAGTGCTTTTACTTACAGTGTTTTACTTAGTTGTCATATCTTCCCAGTGATGTGGAGGTTATGTACTACATCCAGATATGTATACTCAGAGAGGCTAAAGAATTATCCCAGAGTCATATAGCTAGTGGTAATGTAACTGGGTTCTATTCCAGTTTTTAGTCCCAGTACCCATTACTGGTCCTCACCTTCATGGATGTATGTCTACAACAGCATTTTCTCAAAACAGTTAAAAATTTGAACATAAAGGCCTTTAATTATCTTTAAACTGTTTTAATATGGAAATCCTCTCAGTCCTCTTATTCTGCAAATGGGTATGAGTCCTACTTTACTGCTCTTGAGGGGTACTTTGGGTCTACTTTTTTGGAAGTTGCTCCACACAGTGGCAGCACTATTACCAGCAAGTAGTAAAATCACTTTAAAAAAAAAAGACAACACTTCTAGGGGGTTCTGCCTTTGTAGTTCCATTGTAGCTCACTTCAGAAAGATATCCTAGATGTGAAGGCCCCGAACCATCAGCAGATGTGACCTTGACGTCTGACAGTGAACTGTTAGTCAAGGTCTGGCTACTCTTGGGGTTCTGTGGACCTCCAGGCTTGTTCCTGGATGGTGTAGCTTGCTACAAGTAAAGAACTATTTTATTTTCATTCCCTGTCTTTTTTGGTCTTCATTTTCCTGCAGTTGTTTTACCTTTATACTTGAGTTAAAGCTGACTTACAGTGAAATACTGTTTGAAAGAGAACAGACTTCAAAGTAAAAATGTCTCACTGTTAAGTTGTAGTGTAACCTCCCTGAGTCTGTTTCCTCTTCTGTAGAGTGAGGGGTGCTATGTCAGAGTTGTTGGGAGTATTAATTGAGCTTTTGCATAAAAGTACCTTGCTTGTGGGAGCTAATGAGATGACAGCTGCAGCTTCTGTAATTATTAAATAGATATTAGGCAAAAGTTAACATTATTGCTAAAATATTTAATGTGGTATTCGTGTAGTGAATCCGTTTCTGAGGGAATTAGAGCTAAACTTGTTTTCAGGTGCAGATTTTATTAATCCATTATTTTGCAAGTAAACTTGTATTCAGAATGAGGAAACACTGTGGAGTGACGGGAAAACAGCTCTCAGGATTTCTTCACAAATGTCACTTTGCACTTTTCAATGATAGTGACTGTTCTCTAACGTTTTTGCCCACACTTTAGGATTTTCCCTCCTTAATGTGGTGTTTCTTTTCTTTCTCAGAGGTGTTTTGAGGTATTCCAACTTCAGTTACCATATGTTTAAATCTGCCACTTGAGACTCTCTTGACAGCCCCGCCACATGGGCTTTGCTTGTTAGTGAGCCCAGTTTTAAGTCCCTTTGGCTTAGGGACTTAGCCCCCTTTGGTCTCCATCTTTAAGCCTTCTCAGTTCAGATCCCATCACTCTGAGAGCTGCCCATGGGAATACCCCTCTTCCACAGCTCTGTCCTCTCTGCAAAAGCACAAACTGCTGAATTAGTTTAAAAAAAATAATTTGTTGAAGGTTCTTGTGCACAAGCAGCATGCTCTCAGAAAAGCCTCACCTTGGCCCATTATAGCCTTTAGCAAAGGTTCTAGTTAAACTGTCAGCTTCTTTTAATTTGAACTTATTCTGGACAGCTGTTTATGAGAAATACTTTTCTTCCCAGAAATACTGTATTTTAACCATGCGCTAGCCAGCATGTAGAAGCAGCAGGGTATTGTGGCAGAGGTTCTTAGCTGGAGGTGGTTTTGATCCCCAGGGAACATTTGGCAATGTCTGGAAACACTCGGTTGTCATAGCTGATGAAAGGGGTGCTGCTGGCATCTAGTAGGTAGAGTCTAGGGGCACCTTAAACATTCTGCAGTGCACAGGGCAGCCTTACAACACAGAGTTATTTGTCCTATAGTGTCAGTGGTGCTAAGGTTGTGAACAGTGGAGTTGTGGAAATAGCACATAGCCTTTAGGGCAAGAGTGCCTGCTGTTTTGATCCTGACTTGACTGCTTACTAGTTATTTTAAATGAGCCGCAGTATCCTCATGTGTAAAACAGGTAAAATGCCTATTTTACTGGATTATTTTGGACATAAAGGACTTTATTTATAATGCTTGATATAAAGTAAATGCTTAATAGACCACAGCTATTCTTGAGGAACAGACCTACCATCATGCAAGCTTTGATTTTTGTAATTTTTTTAGGACTTAGGAGGTTTACTTTATTGTGGCTTCTTGTCAGTGTGAGATTATAATAAATCCTGGAGAACTCAGGTCTCTCTAGATCACTTTGTAAATTCCAAAAGGATTTTTGTCAGAAATATTTGGTGTCCGTGTGGGCCATGTTAAATTGTCTATTAATGATAGGCCTAGAACAAAGAGAAAACCTTAATAACCTCACTTGATTTAGTACTTTGACTTCATTTATTCCCAAATATATATGAGTAGGAT